TTTTTTTTTTTTTTTTTTTTTTTTTTTAATTTTTTTTTTTTTTTTTTTTAATTTTTTAAATTTGCCCCCAAAGAGATAACGTGTCTTCCTTGGTAATATGACAAGATCAGAAAATAAATCAGATGGAAAGAGGGTAAAGAAATTGTCTAGGATATCGTATCTGATTGCCTCAATATCATGGAGTAGCTCATGATGAAGGTGAATAGTAATGGATAAGTATTCAGTGGTGTATGAGAGGGGGGAAGGAAAAAAAAAAAAAAAAAAATTGAATTGTGTCAAAAATAGATTGTATCAAAATTGTTTGAGAGAAAAGAAAGGAGAGGAGAAAAAAAAAAAAAAAAAAAAAAAAAAGGGAAAGGAGAGAGTGGTTAATTGACAATTAGTTATGGAGTAGTGAATGAGTAAAATAGTGTTGGTAAATACAATGAGTTAAAAAATATTAAATCATAATGATGGTCAAATTACAGAAAACGACCAAATAACTAAATACTACAAATAAACGTCTAGGTATACATGCATGTACACATATATGCACATTAAACACACATATGTTTGCCAACCTATGCACAGGCATGTACATGTGGAGGACTAAGTGAGTGGATGCTGCTGGTACTGCTACATGAGCACAAAATGATTCAGAAAAAATGAGGGGGGTTGTAACAGCGCAAACACTGCAAAGTCCTGGGAGGAAATGGTAGTATGGGTGATGGTGGTATTAGTGGCTACTGTATGAAGAGCGTAGGATTCCGTGTGCACTGAGGGCAAGGCTTCCAAATAAGCTGTAGCAACTTCTGTAGATGAGAAAAAGGAGAGAAGAGCGCCTCTAAGTGCAATAAGTCTTTTAATTCAAGTCTAAATGTAGAAACACTCACATGTGTGAAGTAATCATAAGCATAAAAACCGTGGTTAACAATAGTTAACGGTGGGGTGGTAACCCGGGTGAAGAGCCGTCATCTCTCTGCGATGGGGGGAGGGTCAGCTCTCGGCTGGAACAGCGTGGTGGCTGGAGGGGGAACAGTGGTGAGGCCAGCCTTCATGCACGTCCTCCCTCAAAGCCGGATGGAACGCACGCTGGAACGTTAGTGGGCGGCGTGGCCGTGATGACGTCAGATGGGTGCACTGCGACGCGTTTCGGAGCATGGGGGCCGTGGAAGGGGAAGTGCACTCCTTTTTCAAGCAGGGGGAAGTGGATGAACAGGGGTGGGTGAATATATAGGGAAACGTGGTGTCTAATTGATCAATTAACCTTATTAACCAGTGATTGACCATTGCTGTCAGGTGAATAGTGTAAAGTCATGGATGTTAACTGGGGGGGTAAAAGGAAACCAAATGGAAAAAAGAGAGGATGTAATAAATAAGAAAACGGTGGGGAAGGGGAAGAAAAAAAAAAAAAAAAAAAAAAAAAAAAAAAAAAATTATGTTCATGGGAGGGGCGGGAGGGGGGTAAAATGTTCACCTTGCAGCACTGGCACATCAATTATGTAACAGTAGGTGAGCAGATATTTAGTGGGGGGATACAGCATGATTGCAAGAATGATACAGCATGATTGAGGGGATGATAAACATATTGGTAATAATACATGCAGATGACATTATAAAAAAGTAAATTGAACATTGTAAAAAATTGTAAAAAATAGAATAAATATATAAATAATGAACAAAAGGGTTATAAAATAATAAACTAAAACGGGGAATAAAAAAAAAAAAAAAAAAAAAAAAAAATTCGATAAAAAATTTAGATTTAAAAAATTCGATTGGGGGGGGATTGGGGGAGTGTGGGAAAAAAAAAAAAAATAGGTAATCTTGGGGGGTGGGGGGGGGGGGATTAGGGGGAGTAGGGTGTAATTGGAGTGTTGAGATGGGGGTGGCTGTGAAGGGGAGATTGTAGTGTTTATAGATATAGTTTCATCTTAACCCCCACTCTTCATTTTCTGATCACCTCTCCCCCACCAACACACTCACAGTCATTTTTTAGGTCAAAATCCCCCACCACGGAATAATTTAAATTACACACAGAGGCTGTGGGGGGGTACGAAAAATAAAACTACCGCACACACACCAACACCAAACACAAACACCGCCGAAACTGTAAAAATCTCTTTTCAACTTATCCAACCTTCAAACTTTCACAAACTGATAATCTCTCTGTGTCACCCCTCCGGTCCCTAAACTTTGCCCCAACTTCCCCACCAACTTATTACACTCTATTTCATAGACATGAATTAAATTTTGATACGCAATCTCAACCTTAAAAAGATTCTTTACACATTCAATCCAATAAAAAACTCAGCCTACAGCCATTTCACCTGACACAGACAATATCAACCCTACAAACCCCATCTGACTCAGACGGCTTAGACCATATTAGAACAATTATTTGCTGAGTCTCACCTGATGATGGCCCACCTTTAGATTTTACACTCACTTCACAACTTTTATACCCCCCTCCTGTGGCACACACTACGCTCAGACCCAAATCAGGTATTCAATCCCACACATTCTAAGGGCCCCTACCTGGTAAAGTTTTTTTAGTTAGAGTGTCTAACTCGGAATTCATCAAATTGTGCAATCTCCCAACCAGCACCATTCGCCTCTAATCTACCATACACTGTAAAAAAATCCATTACCACTTTATCAACTTCAATAAGGACATTATTATCAAGGGCCCGCACGTATAAAGGCGCGGCGGCATTGTACTTCTTAATACCACTGACTACATAGACGAAGCCCTCAGACTCCTCTCAGGACACATCCACGTATACCAAATTAACTAAAGGGACCCACTACCCGAATTTCAAACAGGACGCACTACTACTAACGAACACAGCCTTACTTGATGGTGTCATCACCAAGCAGGAAGCCTCTTTTCTATCTAAAGACTTCTACAACACCCCGTATTTTTTACTTTCTCCCCAAAGTACACAAAAATCCAAAGTAATCACCAGGAAGACCAATCGTAGCGGCCCACAGGGAGCATTACCAGCGGTTTATCCCAATATATCGAACCACTTCCTACAACCCCTTTGCACAGGGCTCTCAACACTCATATATCCGGGACAGCGGGGGACACTTCTGCTAGCTCGAATTACTCCAAACATACTCTGGGCAAACCCGACTACTATTGTGGGTCTCGTTAGATGTTCTGCTCCCTATACACCTCGATACCCCATGATGTAGGCATTCACCGCCATCCAGCATTATCTATCCTTGGATACCATCAACTCAACCCCAAACAATCTTCCTTTATAGTAGACGCCACCTCATTTTGCCCACTCAAACACAATTACTTCACATTCATAACACGATTTTCTACCTTACAAACTCAAGGTACAGCCATGGGAGCCAAACTTTGCACCCCTCATATGCCAACTGGACTATGAGTTTCTGGGGAGGACAAACACATATGGCACAAACAATCCCTTTGCCGCCCAAATCCATCTTTTACGGCCCGTTACATAGATGACATTATCGTCATTGGGATGGACCAATATCACACGTAGACCAGTTCGTAACCATTGCAATTCAAATCCTTTTGGACTGTCCTTCACCTCCACTCACCACAAACATACTCTTGTTGTATTCCTAGATCTCGAATTATTACCATGACAAATCTCCAAATATTAACAAAAAACACTTCAAAACCCGTTTCTGGCAACTCATCCTCCACTTCCAACAGCTGCCACCACCCCAAATGGATCCCAAAAATATACCTAAAGGACAATTCTGTCGTCCTCAGACAAAACCTGCACCACAGATTCAGATTACATCTCCAGAGTGACATTCTAATAAAGAAATTCCTAGACAAAGGTTACCCACACAAGCTAGTAGATGAGGCCCACTCCTTCTACCACAAGGGTAGACCCCCAAACACACAATAACACAGAGCCTCCCAACCAGGTCAGATTTTATAACCAAATTCACAACAACTTTTCACAAAATGGAGTCTATCATCAATAGACATTGGCCGATACTACTACAGGATCCACATTTAATAGACATCTTAGATCAAAAAAACCAAAATACAACTCACCGCAAAGCCATCAACCGTTAAAAACAAGATTGCCCCCAGCAAATACAACCCCACCCACCAACACACTCAACACAATCTGCCTCATACCCCATTGTCGGCATGTATAGATGCAACAAAGCGCTATGCAAAATTGCCCAATTCGTTAAACACGGACAAAAAACTTCACCACAAAAGGAAAAACCTATTCATTCAAAGGGAATTTTACAACTGCTCCACTGATCATGTGATCTATTTGTATATCCTGCCCTTGCGGCCTCCTATATGTGGGACGAACCATCAGACCCCTCCGCGCCAGGTTTGGCGAGCAACAGACGTCTTATTGAAGATGGTAAAGACAAAAACATAGGGTCCCCCGCCACTTCCTTGAATATCACCCAAAAATCCACTGATGGCCTACAGAAGTATGGGTCGTTAGGGAATCCATACACAACAATCTCTCTGAGTCCTGATCGTTTTTCAAAATACACTCTGTTCACAAGAAAACTTATTGGATATTTACATTAGATACATTGTCCCCAGGACGGACTCATCGCGGAATTAGACATTAAACACTATACTTTAAACACTACAATCTCCCCATCTCACCAGCCACTCAACTACTCACATTGATACTTCCCCCCCCCCCCCCCCTCCCCCCCTTTCTTTATTAATTTTTTTTTTTTTTTTTTTTTAATCCGAATTTTTTTAATCAAATTTTTTTAATCGGTATTTTTTTTATCGAACTTTTTTTTTTTTTTTTTTTTTTTGTTTTTGATCACAATTTTTTAGATTTAGTATTTATAACCCTTCTTGTTCAGTATTTATATTTGTATTCTATTTTTTACAATTTTGTACAATGCAATTTTCTTTTTATAATCGTCCATCTGGCAATGTATTAGTACCAATATGTTTAATCATCTTGCCAATCATGCTATATCATCTTGCAATTCGATGCTGTAATTACCACTAAATAATCATGCCGCACTTCTGTTACATAATTGATTGTGCCAGCGCTGCAAGGTGAACATTTTACCCCACTAATCTCTCACCTAGACAAATAATTTTTTTTCTTTTTTTTTTTCCTTTCCGTCTTCCGTTTTCATAATTATTACATCCTCTCTTTGTTCCATTTGGTTTTCCTTTTACCCCCCAGATTAACATCCATGGACTTTACACTATTCACCTGACAGGCAAATGGTCAATCACTGGATTAATTGGTTAATTGATCGATTAGACTCACTGTGTCCTATATGTATATTCACCCCTGTTCTTCCACTTCCCCCTGCTTGGATAAAAGGAGGTGCACTTCAGCCATTCCCACGGCCCTGTGCATGATGCCGAATACGCGTCCGCAGTGCACCCTGGGAATCTGACGTCATCACGGCCACGCCGCCGCTACGTTCCAGCAGTGCCGTTCCATCCCGGCTTTGAGGGAGGACGTGCATGAAGGATGCGGCCTCACAACAGTTCCCACCTACAGCCACCACGCTGTTCAGCAGACGAGAGCTGACACTCCCCACTTCGACATGAGAAGGGGATGTCGGGGCTCTTCACCCGGGTTACCACCCCGCCGTTAAACTATTGTTAACCACGGTTTTTATGCCTTTTGATTACTTTCACAAATGAGTGCACTTCCGCCTTACTCACGGCCTCGTGCATGCTCCGAAACGCGTCGCAGTGCACCATGGGATCTGACGTCATCACCGGCCACGCCGCCGCTACGTTCCAGCGTGCGTTCCATCCGGCTTTGAGGGGAGGACGTGCATGAAGGCTGGCCTCACCACTGTTCCCCCTCCAGCCACCAACGCTGTTCCAGCCGAAGAGCTGACCTCCCCACATCGCAGAGACGATGACGGCTCTTCACCCGGGTTACCACCCCACCGTTAACTATTGTTAACCACGGTTTTTATTTTATGCTTATGATTACTTCACACATGTGAGTGTTTCTACATTTAGACTTGAATTTAAAAGACTTATTGCACTTAGAGGCGCTTCTCTCCTTTTTCTCATCTACAGAAAGTTGCTACATGCTTATTTGGAAGCCTTGCCTACAGTGCCACAAAAAACGGAATCCTACGCTCTTCATACAGTACAGCCACTAATACCACCATCACCCATACTACCCATTTCCAGGACTTTGCAGGTGTTTTGCGCTGTTACAACACCCTTCCTCATTTTTTCTGAATCAAGATGTATAAGGCCCTGGGAGAGGGCGCCAGGTTATACTTATTAAGTTTTAGATTTACAAGGGAAAAATATAGTCAAGTGGAGCCCCTGGAAGCCCAGACTACATGGGGAGCAGTGGCAAGATAGTTTGGGACTTGGTGTCATCCTTTTTTCCATATGGGTTACCACTTATACGTGGGACAATTTTTATTCAAGCGTGCCACTATTTAGACATTTGTTCAATCTTGGAACTGGCGCATGTGACACAGTGGTGACCTAATGTGTGCCCACATTAGGAAGTGGGTGGATGCAGGGCGGTTAATATATTCTGATGGTGGGCATACCACACACTTTTTCTGGCAGAGATTTCTTCTTTTTTTCATTCAGCCCATAGGCTGCATACAAAAAAAAAAAAGAAAAGAAGAACATAGCATATATACCCAACAAGGACCAGTTACTGGTACATCGCTGGACTTTGAATGGTTATACCAGGATGATGCCTACAGCTGCAGGCATCATCCTGGTATTGTTTTTTCAGGGGGGCCAGCGATTGGCGGTTTTTCATGTAAAAGTAATCCTAGTGTCTAATTAGCTGCAGGATTGCTTTTACAAGCAGCGGGAGATGATCCCCCCTCCCCCGTTGCCTTCCACAGCTGACCATACAGCTGATTGTAGGCCAGAATAGTTCCAATCATCTCTATAGTCTAAGAAATCGGAAGCTACGAGCATTTAATCACTTCAGTTTCGCAGGATATTAACAGCGCCATTTGTAAATTGGGAAATCTGATCACACCGATCTTGGTTTGATTAGATAATATAAGGGCAGAGGAGATATCGAGAGTCTGATAGACCCCAGATTTCTCAAAAAAGAATATATGGCAATGCCCATTGAAGTTATAGGGGATACAGTTGTGTCCAAAAATTATTCAACCCCCACTGAAATTGAGTGTTTTGGCCAGTTTGACATTGCTTTTGATCATTCAGTCATCTTGCTTACATTTACATTAAAGAGGCACTTGTAGGTCAGACAAATATAACATAACAGTTATAATGAAATAACCACAAATGTCTTTTCTGTGCTCACAGCATTATCAGTTTTATTCAACCCCCAAGTGACATTCAATCTTAGTACTTAGTACAGCATCCTTTTACAGTTATAACAGCTTTTTAAACGTGAAGCATAGCTTGACACAAGTGTCTTGCAGCGATCTACGGGTATCTTCGCCCATTCTTCATGGGCAAGGGCTCCAGTTCAGTCACATTCTTTAGGCTTGCGCACTGCAACTGCTTTCTTTAAGTCCCACCAGAGGTTCTCAATCGGATTTAAGTCTGGTGACTGCGATGGCCACTCCAAAATGTTCCAGCCTTTCCTCTGCAACCATGCTCTAGTGGACTTGGAGGTATGCTTGGGATCATTGTCCTGTTGAAAGGTTCCAACGTCTCCCAAGCCTCAGGTGTGTGACGGACTGCATCACGTTTCCATCCAATATCTCCTGGTACTGAAGAGAATTCATGGTACCTTGCACACGCTGAAGCTTCCCCTGTACCTGCAGAAGCAAAACAGCCCCAAAGCATGATTGACCCTCCACCATGCTTCACAGTAGGCAAGGTGTTCTTTTCATCATAGGCCTTGTTCTTCCTCCTCCAAACATAGCGTTGATCCATGGGCCCAAACAGTTCTAATTTTGTTTCATCAGTCCACAGAACACTATCCCACAACTTTTGTGGTTTGTCCACATGGCTTTTTGGCATACTGCAGTCGACTCTTCTTATTCTTTGGAGACAGCAAGGGGGTACGCCTGGGAGTTCTGGCACGGAGGCCTTCATTACGCAGTGTGCGTCTTATTGTCTGGGCTGAAACTTCTGTACCCACATCTGACAAATCTTTTCTCAGTTCCTCAGCAGTCACACGGGGACTTCTCTCCACTCTACGCTTCAGGTAGCGCACAGCAGTCGAAGTCAGCATCTTCTTTCTGCCACGACCAGGTAGCGTTTCAACAGTGCCCTTTGCCTTGAATTTGCGAATGATGCTTCCTAAGGTGTCTCTTGGTATGTTTAACATCTTTGCAATCTTCTTATAGCCATTGCCCTTCCTGTGAAGAGAAATCACCTCTTCTCTTGTCTTCCTGGACCATTCTCTTGCCTTCACCATGTTTGTAACCACACCAGTAAATGTCTAGAAGGAGCTGAGTATCACAGTCATTTTAAAGCTGCCTAATTGGTGCTTATTATGCTTGATTGCTGCTCGGTGACATCCACAGGTGTTTTCAATACCTGATGGAAAGCACCTGTATGAACCTCTGTTCTTCAGAGTGGTAGTCTTTAAGGGGTTGAATAATTGTGGCAATGAAGAAACCACATAAGAACCATTTACTACTGTATTACATAAACAATTGATGTCATTTTAGTTGCATTTGGGTAGTTACAACGTCCTTGTAGGATTTGATTCTGAATACAATTCCAAATGTACACTATAGTCCCTAAACCCCTTTACAGCATTGGGGGTTGATAATTTTGGACACAACTGTATTTGCATTCCCTGTGATAGCATTAAAAGTGATAAAAAAAATTAAAGGGACAGTGTAAAAAATTTAAAAAATCAAAAATAACTTAAAAAAAAACACCCTCGCGTTGTGCCGGTATGTAAATAGCGGTTGCACCATGCATGTGAGGTATCGCCGTGAACGTCAGATCAAGGGCAGTAATTCTAACACTAAACAGACCTCCTCTGTATATCTAAAACAGTAGCTTGTAAAGGCTTGTAAAATGTTGCCTATGGATATTAAAAATGTATGCAGTTTGTTGCCATTGCACGGGGCATACACAGTTTTAACCACTTGCCCTCTAGAGGATTTACCCCCCTTAACCACTTCATGTCTACACCTACACCTCCTCCCTCTATGCCGCCAAGCAAGCCTACTTTTTGTAACCCTCATCAATACCCTCTCCACCTGTCCTCACCGGCTCTTCTCCACTTTCAACTCCCCTACTCTCTCCCCCCCCACCCCCACCCAGTACCTCACTCACCGCCCACGAGATTGCCAATCACTTCCAAAATAAGATCGACGCAATCCGTAAGGACATCGCCAATGCTCAACCTACCTCCCCCCCAGCCTCCCTCCCACTATAAACCCCATCAACTCTCCCCTCCTCTGACCTCGCAACCGCCCTACCCCCCACCACACCTAACATCCCGCACACTATAACCTCCCCAACACTCCGCTCCTTCAGCACTGCTACCACTGAGAAGGTCACTAAGGTCTTCTCAGAAGCCTGCCTTACCACTTGCCCCCTTGACCCTGTCCCCACACAACTCCTCCGGTCACCCTCCTCCTCCATCCTACGCTCCCTCACCCACATCTTCAATCTGTCCCTCTCCACTGGCGCATTCCCCCCTCCCCCCTAAAGCACGCGCACATCACCCCCATACTCAAAAAACCCTCCCTGGACCCCACCCGACCTGACCAACCTTAGACCCATCTCCCTGCTGCCATTTACTTCCAAGCTCCTTGAGCGCATAGTCTACAATTGCCTAAGCGCCCACCTCACTGACAACAACCTCCTCGATCCACTACAGTCTGGATTCCGTCCCCTACACTCCACCAAAACCGCTACCCCTACTCAAAATCACTAATGACCTGCTAACCGCCAAACCTAATGGCCACTACTCAGTCCTCTTACACTTCGACCTTTCCACGGCCTTCGACACAGTTGACCACCCCCTCCTCCTTAATAAACTACACTCCCTCTGCATCAGAGACTCCGCTCTCTCCTGGCTCTCCTCCTATCTATCCCAACGCTCCTTCAGCATTACCTATAACACTACCACCTCCCCCTCTCTCCCCCTCTCTGTTGGGGTTCCCCAAGGCTCTGTCCTCGGGCCCCTTCTTTTCTCCATCTACACCTCCTCTCTCGGCAAACTGATACACTCCCACGGCTTCAACTATCACCTCTACGCCGATGACACGCAAATTTACCTCTCCACTCCTCACCTCTTTCCCCTTCAGTCTCCGCCCGTATCACCCACCTACTGAACGACATATCAGACTGGATGTTGCTCCATTTCCTCAAACTGAACCTTTCCAAAACCGAGCTCCTAATTTTCCCCCCTGCCCGCGCCCCATCCTCTCCATCACGACCAACAACGCCACCATCAGTCCCATCCTGCAAGCCAAAGTCCTAAGTGTCACTCTTGACTCAAACATGTCCTTCCAACCCCATGTCCAATCGTTGGCAAACTCCTTCAGGCTCCTCCTCCGCAACATCTCCAAAATACGTACGTTCCTAACCACAGACACTACTAAACAACTCGTTCACTCCCTTATTATCTCACGTCTGGACTACTGCAACTCCCTTCTCACCGGCCTACCCCAACACAGGCTATCCCCGCTTCAGTCTATCCTGAACTCAGCGGCCAGACTCATCCACCTTACAAGTTAGAAGTAGCAGAATGTATTTTGGGGTGTGTTTCCACATATACCCATGGCTTGTGTGAGAAATAAATCATTAAAAAAAAAAGTTTTTGGCATTTTCCAGAAACTTGTGTAAAAAAAATACATCTTCCATGGACTCAATATGCCTCTCA